CGCGCCCGCCGCGGCGATCCCCCCCGCCGAGCACTGCGTGAAATTGATAAAAAGATTTCGGATTTCAAAACATACATTTCGCTTTAGATCCTTTACATATTAACAAATATATATCGGAAATTCTATTTGATATAATCGAAAGTTTAAGCTTACTTTTATAAAATTGCTCTTACAGTCTGCAAAAAATAATAAGCCGGATCCCAATTCGAAAATTAAGGAACCACGCAATCCAACATTAACTGAAATAGATAATTAGATAATTTTAGCTTATACGTCCGTTATACATAAAACGCGCACGCGAAAACGTATTCTGCACTTGCGCACACTCATATGCGCAGTCGTAAAAGGTCTTACGCGCACGCGTAAACGCCTATGCGCATGTGTCAACGCGGCGCATGCGCAGAAAGTTTTAAGTTTTGAGGTCCGGATTATAGATCATTCCGAATTATGGGTGTCCGAATTAACGACTTTTGACCGTATATATATATATAATGTTGTATGATCTTAAATCTATTTAGTGTGAATACAAGTTATTATTACTTGCACAATTGCTGCAAAGTTAGTTAATAATAATTTATTGGTTGATCTTTACATTACGGTAACTTGGCGATTTTTTGGCGAAAATTTGGCGACCAACTCCCCTACAGCAACCCTCTATTTTTTTTTTCCCCGCCGCCATTTTGTCTTCACGAAGTAAAGACATGTTTCTTTTCTTCTTATCTACTGAACACTTCTTCCAATAATCTACTAGCCGAATTACACTTATGCTAGAAATTTTATCAAACAAAACTGCTTAATCATGACAAATATTCACTGCAAAATTCGGAAAAAGTGCACAATACCATACACCTTACGCGTTTTTCAAAATAACACATACACATAAACCATGTACATGCCGACTTATTTTTACTTAAAAAAACATCCCAGAATTGCACAAAAATGGCATTGCGCACACTCTTCACTATATCCATGTACACTGCTTTTTTCTCATAAATTCGAAAAAATTTCACGAAAATACATGACAATTTTTCTCAATCTTTAAACCCGGTAAAAAGAACATATATGAAATTACCTGATCGCGAAAAAGTATTTACCCTTTACAAATATGAACATTTCCACATATAAAATAAATAAAATATCCAAAAACTTTTACCTCTAAATCATCTCTATTACATTATACACGTCACCAACGAATTCATACATACGAAGCATTACAAATATTTAGTTATCAAATATTTAAATTATTTCCATGCACATTTATTTCAACTTAAACATACACCAAATTCCTACAAGTATAAAATTCTCAAAATAACTATCATTTCATTAAAATATAATTAAATTCAAAAACACCACTTAAAATATACATGAGCACATACATTCAATTAATAAAAATTACCTTACAATCCTAATTACTTTAAACTAAATCAAATCATTGCTAATAACAATTTTCCCAATAATACCAAATTCCTTTCCACCTTACATTTCCAACAATGCATAAAATAATTAAAAATACTAACTTACCTAATCTCCTTCAGAATCTTCATTACGTGGCGGATACACTTTTCTTCATTCTCTTTCAGAATCTTTAAAATCATACTTATCTTTCAAAGCAAGATACCAGGTAAAATAAATAACATAATAAAACATGTTTATTTCTCTCTCACACAACCTTAAAAAAACATTTCTTACTATCTATCCTTTTCAATACCACTAAATACCCATTTCGAATTCACTTTACTTACGGCCATGGGATCCAAAAATTCACAAACACTATTTCACACAACACAGAATAATGCCAAATACAAAATTTCCAGATTTTTTCCCGATTTGCCCCCTTTTCCGATTAAAGAACCGTAATTCCTCCATTTTTATCACATGACATATCCCATGATCTCTCATTTCCCCCACACAAAATAATGCGTAATCGGAACTCAGTACTGCTCACATTATTACCAAAGTCCCAGGTAGTAACCTTTATCGCCTCCAAAATGTCGCCAAACTACCAGTTACCGTAATGTAAAGATCAACCAATTTATTTCCTAAACAGTATTGATTAATTGATTATATTATCTCCTAAGTTTAATTAAAGTAGAATTATTTTAATAGTGTGCATTCATACTGGTAAGTTATATTTTGAAGGATGTTTTGAAGTAATTTGAAAGCAAATTGTTAATAATGTTTTAACGGGGACTGGAGTTAAATCATCATGAAGAATAATATTTCAATTGTAAAAGGAAAAATTAAAACATGTAATCACTGTCATTGATCGGAAATTAGTTGACTTTTCAAGGGGAACAAACCAACTCCCGCTCAATGAACAATAATTGATAAAAATACGTAAATACAAAAGTGTTTCGTCTTTACTCGAGTTATAAGTTAAAGCCAAACCGGCAATTCTAGTTAGGCCAAATATTTCCGCGAATAGTAGGAATTATGAACCAATGCTGATACTCAAAGAACTTATTCTTATGAAGCATTTTAGTCAATTCAATTTGGAGTAAAAATCAATTACTGTAGAGAAATCCTATAAAACTTGAGTAACCGTCCCCACACTTTCATTTTTATGCATTTGAGTACTAATATTATTTGTAGAAATTAAACATTGGAAATTGTCATTATGAAATCGAATTCAAAGTAAAGTTGAAATAAACATAGAATATTATAAAAAAAGATAAATAATGCAAACTTTGTAAAAACAAATCAAAGAAAATATAAAAATAATATAGAAAATAATATAAATAAGATCAGTGAATGTACATGAAGATATAAAGGCCAGAAACGACATTAAGTAAGTTACATTCTTTCTAGTGGGGGAGTTGGCAAAGTGTTCTCTTTGTGTCTGACTCAGAAGTGTAGGGTGTCCGAAAATTCTTAGGGGCAGTAGGGGCTTTGAATAATATCAGTCGGTAAGACTTGGGTGAAGTAATTTATGGTAGTGGGTGGGACTTGGAATTCTTGAGGGATGTATTTTGTGGAGTTCTTATCTGAGAGAGACCGTCTGTTAAGATTTTTTTGAAAATACTTATATATACACACACATGAGGCAGTCGGAATCTTCAAAATCCCAGGAGTCAGTCATTTTCCCTACCGACTCTACAGCCCTGCAGGAAAACTGTACTGGTTTTTTATATCCTGACACATATACTTCTTCTGGACCGCCATGCTGACAATAAGATTTGCTGATAATCATGCTTTTTAACTAAAAAGTATGTAAAATAAATGTGGAACTATGTAATTTGACCACAGGTCTTGAGTATTTCTTCACTATAAATCAAAGTACAGTCAAAAGTGTTTAATCTGGACTCGTTGGGACTTCGGCGATTCCGAATTATCAGTTTTTCCAGATTATATATTATCAATTTAAATCTGGTAAGATGGCATGCAGAAATTATAGAATTAAAAATATCGAACCGTAATTTATGAAATAAAGAGCAATTATGATCCAAAGGGTATCAAAATTTTTTTAAAAAAAAGCTTAATACTTATTTGTTTACTTTATTAAACATTTCTTTCAACGCGCACATGCATAAAGCATACATTACGCATAGTCAAAATTAGAAAACTGCAACCAGAAAACTATTTGATGTATATTCATGATATTTATAATGACAAGGAATTTGATTTAAATCATATCAGAGTACATCGAGATGAAATACTACATTTAGTAAGAAATTATAAGCTGAATAAAATAAAAACATCTGCCCTGATGATAAGGATAGTGCTGACAGATCAACTTCCAGTTTATTGCGTGCCGCGACGTAAATGAGTAGTAAACTATTACCAGCGAGGGTATTCCATTTGGCATCGGTTGTACTATTATTGGCGACTTTATCACCTGCGCCGGCAAAACGGGAAAGTACCATTCTATGATCCACACAGTGCAATCTGGTAGACAACAGATGTAAATAATGAATACTTACGAGTTATACTATTTACAAAATGTTGGAAACAAGAATTACAAAATCTAGTGGCACGGATTCAGCTATGGAAGAGGTGGAGAAATGCAAAACCCATCAAGGCTGACTCTAAATAAGATGAATCTCTAAACATTTTCAATCACACTAGGCACAAGTACTTTAGACTTCTGGATTGGAGGGTATGAAATTGTTGCTTCAGGTGGGTACTTCTAAAAAATATGGTGAAAATATATTTCAGGGTGCCCCTTGGTCAAAACTGGCAATTTTTTGGCACCATTCTTGTTTACATCCAAAGCACTCCCCGTCCAAAACATAATTAAAACAAAAGTTAAAAATTTACAACTGAACTCCCATTGTTTATTTTGCCATTTCTTCTAAAATTTCCTTTTTATTATGCTCCACATACGTTTGATAGTGTTGATATGAGATCTGGTTTCTGGGTTCTAAAGTATCACTGCATGATTTACTGAAAAGTGAACGAAGCCATTATCAAAAAGACAATCCTACGACTTCCAGCAGTTGGATAAGATCGTTATTGAATTACATCCAACAAAGTTTCTTTTCTTTTGTCCTCAACCACTTCAAAAAAAAAAAAAAAAAAAAACTTCTGCTCTCTTGTTATATACCACCAAAAACCCAGTTTACGAATGGACGCGAATTTACAATGTTAAACACAAAATCCACAATGTACATCCTAACCCATATCCAATCCAGAATTAAGCCCTTATAAATATATTCCCATCAGTCAAAGTCACCACAATCATGCAACCAATCACGTCATAATAGGGTTTCCATAACATTCAACTACATAAACAACCATAAATGAAACAACAATTCTGTGATAATCCAAGGGGCAGACTAAAATACAGACTACCCAAAAATGAGTTGAAATTTATCTTGGAGAAATGAAGTTCTTTATCTTGTAAAAATTAAAAACATAATTGTTTATTACATATTTTGATCAAATGAACAATTTACATAAGACACAAAGGTCATCATTATGCTTTATACCACCTGGTGTACCTAAATAAAAAAATAAAAAAATGTTGTTTAGTTATTTTGATATAATGGCAATTCACATACCTCACACAAGGTCACTTGTAGATTCTATGCCACACAATGCACTAATGAATCATGACCAGTAACCTCCAAATCTTCCACTGAGTCATATCTAAATTCTAAAAATTTTACAACTCTTAAATTCTGCCATCCACTACAATTAAAACACACTTGACCTCATATAGTGAAGATTCTTGGCTGCATGGATAGATAATATTGCACTGAAATTTATGAGCTGCTACAAACCTAAATGTTCCTCTAGACATAAAGCTTCTCTCAGCATATATAAACATGTTTCTTCCTTTGTCAAAATGACTGGTTACATAACTCATTTCCAATCTGCACGGCAATAAAGGATTCTGATAACTGAACCACCATTTACTATCACTTTCATATAATCGCATACAAGGTTCCTCTCCTGTATAAATATGCATATGTTTATATTACCTTTTTGACTACATGACCATTTATGCACTTCACACACGAGGTTTCTCTCCTGTGTGAATATACACATGGAAGTTTAAATTCTGCTTTGGACTAAATGACTTTTTACATACTTCACACATATGAAGTTTTTTCTTCTGTATGAATAAGCATATGTTTATTTAAACTAAACTTTCGTATAAATGACTTCTTACATACTTCACACACATACGATTTTTGTCCTCTGTGAATACGCACATGCATGTTTAAATTATGCTTTAGACTAAATGACTTTTCACATACTTCACACATATGAGGTTTTTCTCCCGTGTGAGTAAGCATATGGTTGTTTAAACTAGCCTTTTGCCTAAATGACTTCTTACATATTTCACACACATGTGACTTCTGCCCTGTGTGAATACGCATATGCACTTTTAAATTATGCTTTAGACTAAATGACTTCTTACATACTCCACACGTATGAGGTTTTTCTCCTGTGTGAGTTAGCATATGTACATTTAAATTACCGTTGTCCCTAAATGACTTCTTACATATTTCACAAACGTGAGGTTTACCTCTTCCGTGAATAAACATATGCACGTTTAAATGACGCTTCAGGCAAAATGACATTTCACATACTTCACACCTATAAGGTCTTTCTCCTGTGTGGGTAAATATATGCTCCATTAAACTATCTTTGTTCTTAAATGATTTCTTACATATTTCACACACATTAGGTTTCTCTCCTGTGTGGGTAATCATATGCAAATCTAAATTAAATTTGCGTCTAAACGATTTCTTACATACTTCACACTCATGATGTTTCACTTCTGTGTGAATAAGTACATGCATGTTTAAAGTACTCTTTTGAGTAAATGCCTTTTGACATACTTCACATACATGAGATTTTTCTCCTGTGTGAATACGCATATGCGTGTTTAAACTACACTTTTGAGTAAATGCTTTCTTGCATACTTCACACACATGAGGTTTCTCTCCTGTGTGCATAAGCATGTGCACATTTAAACTAGCTTTATTGCAAAATGACTTCTTACATATTTCACACCCATAAGGTTTCTCTCCTGTGTGACTACGCATATGCGTGTTTAAATTAGACTTTTGTGTAAATGACTTCTTACATACTTCACACACATGAGATTTCTCTTTTGTGTGAATAAGTATGTGCCAGTTTAAAGTAGCTTTTAATCTAAATGACATCTTACATACCTCACACACATGAGGTTTCTCTCCTGTGTGAGTATGGATGTGCATGTTTAAATCACCCTTGCTCCTAAATGACATCTTACATACTTCACACACATGAAGTTTCTCTGCTGTATGAATAAGCATATGCTTGTTTAAATTGCCTTTGTGAATAAATGACATTTTACATATTTTGTACACGAGGTTTCTTTCCTGGGTGATTAAGCATATACTTGTTTAAATTGCTTTCCTGATTAAATGACATTTTACATATTTCGCACATATGAAGTTTCTTTCCTGTGCAAACATGCATATTCTACTCTAAAAGTACTCTTTTGATTAAATGTTTTCATACATACTTCACACATATGAAATTTCTATCTTGCATGAATAAGCATATGTTCTTTTAAATTTCTCATTTTCCTAAATGATTTGTTACATTTTATAGAGACATGAGTTTTCTCTTATTTCTGAGTATGTATATGTTTTTTTTTTTTTTTTTTTTTTAAATATTGCATTTTCCAAATCATTTATTACAGATCTCGTAGGACGTGAAAGTTCCACACTATAGCCGACATCCTTGATATCATAAATGTTGGTATATACTTCACGGCGAACTTCACACTGTGCATCGATGTAAAGTGTGTTCCTTATCAGAAATTTCAAACAATTAGTTATTAGATGGTTCACTTTTATTTTACCTGTCATGCATAATTACGCATCAATATCTTTATAAAAATATTAGTACATATTATTCATGAGAAAAATATGGTGTATTCATACCTTGGTTTGCAGGAGTGCTTCATTAAAATTTTGCTATATTTCACACAAATACAATTTTTGCCTGATATATAAACAAGTTTAATACGGACAGAATTTATGGAATTACGACCCACACGATAAATTACGACTACATGGAGTTTTGATTCTTCTAGAACTGCTAACAGTGCATTACAGTTTGAAGAAGTTAATTGTTATGCCAGAAGTTAAGCTAATCCGAAGTTTTTGCTGTCAGTGCAGAAAAAACCTTCTTCTTCTTCTGGGCCGCTGCAAATGGACTCTTTGAAAATATTAACACTCTGAAAACTGAAGGCATTTACCCAAAATTTATCTATCCATTATCAAAATCAGGATATTAACAATTTGTTGCAGAAATGGAGCGAAGACATACAGCGCATTTCCTTGACACTTCGCTTCGGTTTAAGGTAAGCTTGATTCTTGTTTTCCTCACCTTATAATTCTCGCCATAGATTGCGCTAACGAAAAAGGTCAATCTCGTATTACCATATCTTCCCCAAAGCTGACAGACACGCAAAGTAGACAGATGTCTTGTTTTGCACCCGCTAAGTATTTCTGCCTCGATGAACCAAAAATCAGCTTATGTGCGAAGGAAAGGTATATAGAAAGGGGGCAATTTCGTATTTCAGAGGCAAGTAAAAAAGAACTTTGTACATTTTATACGAGTTCGAAAGGCCAGGCAGAAAAGGTGGAACAAAATAAAATTAAAGTAAATGGCCCAAAAGTAATAGAGGGGGGTAAAAATGGGCTCATAGAAAAGAAGAAAAGAGGTAGAAGATTGAGTCCATGAGTGTAGTCAAAAGGTGAGGAAACTGTGTTCATTTACAATAAATAGTGTCTCCAATGAGTGTGTAATGCATGTGTTTGGTAGAGCTGAATAGATGTGGTGATGGCCAGTGGCGTAACTAGAACTCTAGGGCCCCTGTATCAAAAAAATTCTTGGTCCCCCCAAAAATTTTTAGTACTAAGTCTTCCCCCCCCCAAAAAAAAATCCAGATTTTCAGAAGCCATTATTTTGATAATGATTTTTATCAGATCAGGATTAATATTTCCAAATCTGACATTGAGACTCATGACTTCCTTGTACTGCCAATTAAATTATACACATTTTTCCTGCACTTTATTTAAAGTTATATCCTCGAATGATTTTAATTTAATTAACCTATTCCTAAAGGCAGGTTGAAAATGACATCAAAAATTTTAAATTTTGAATTAAATATTCTGGTCAGTTTGTGCCGTCGGGAGTCAAACCTCTTCTAATTTAATTTTTCATAACGAGTAGTTTCATATTTCACAACATTCCCAAATATAAGTAGAGGAGCCGAGAGACCGAATGAAAAGTTCAATTTCGTTATTTGTGAAAAGTATATATTTTAAACTTTGACATAGCCAAAACATTTTTCGTCATTTAAAACACTTCTGTAATGGGAAGATATAACTACAACCAACGATTTCGAAATAAAGGCCGGGTAAAGGAGCGAATATGTATGTAAATGTACACTGCCAATTGCAATAAAAAAGAGAAGTATACAAATGGATATTATATGAGTCACATGTACAAAATTTTAACGCTCTACGGATAATCGTTTTTGAGTTATGCGATGCATATATATGCGTATATGTGCATATATGCGAACATACAAATGTAAAAAAAGAAAAAAAAACCCTTTTGAGTCCATTTTACAATCCTTTTTGAATAAAAATATTCTTTATTCTGTCTTTACGTATAGGCGTCATAAAAAAGGGGAGGAATCATTCAGTTTACCTTCGAGGTGTATCTTCCTAGGGGAGGTACTTTTAAGTGGAACTGACTCGTGTACACGTTATAGAGGGGGAAATCTACGAAGGCTCATGCAGCCAGGCCATTCGGGAGATTCGAACCTCGGACCGAACTACCAGTGTTCAGCGACATTACCGCTTTTTCGCTGGTGGGCCCCAGATGAGTTCGGGAATGATTAAAATGAACATTTCCGTTGAAATATGATAACCGAAATTTTTCGTGATTACGATACTTTCTTTATTTCGTACAAAGAAATAAAAAATGGAATTTTTCATTTCAGCCAAATGCTTTGTTTTCAAACAACTACTAACTTAAAACAATTAATTAAGTCACTTTATGATGCAGGATTCAAATATTTAACAGTGCTTGAGAGAATTCTAATAACGTCATTCATTACAATGTCATATTCTGCCAATAATTTGTCATCAGATAAAAAATTAGCTATGTATCTATCTGGGTATATTCTGTGTATCCGCGAAGACCATTGTTATTGTTTGCTAAAATTATCTGGATTTAATCTCTCTAAAACTAATTGAAATTGATTTAATATTTTACAGACTTTTTTCAATACAGTTATTTGCTTCCCAATTTTCTTTTCAATACAGCTTGCGATATGATGAGAACTTCCCTCGCGCTTTTTCTTTTTTTTTTTTCTTATGGGTAATGTTTGCCACTGCTATATTCCTGTCGACCACATCTGTCCCTATTTAAAATTAAGCAACATGGTTCGCAATAGTCTTTGTTAAGTTCAAGCGAATAATAAAGCAAAATCTTTCTCGAAACTAGAGTTATTAATCAATTATAATGAACAGAAGAAAATGATCTGCTGTCTTGATTTTGGAGAAAATTGGTATCTTTTGTCTACAAAGGCAAAATTTTAAATAAATCCTTCCTTATCCTTCGTAAGAATTTCTGGATAATCACCAGGATCGGATGGATATCTTTCATTTTTTACATCTTCTCTAAAAGCGGTTTGAATATTGTCCGACCTTTCATCACTGTTTAGGACTGTAACTGATTAATATTCATTTTCTGAAAATATGAAAATATTTCATTTTCTGATTGTTCGCCTTCTTTACTGATTTCAGTCGAAATGTTTTCTGGTACGTTTTTAATTTTTTTAAAATTTTATTTGAACAGTCTGATGCTGCATTTTAAATGTTCGCAAATTTCAAATGGCTGTTCCTGTGAGCTCAAAGTTGATGCCTGACATACTTCTAGAGCAGAATTTTCAACTCTGAAATATTGATTAGCAGTTTTGATATTTTTCATTGCCCGTTCAAAAGCATCTCATAATTCTTTTTTCTTCTTTCTTTTTTGTGCCACATTTAAAGCTTTCTTCAACATGTTATAAGATTTTTTTAATGTTACAGCTTATAAATAAAAAGGCATATAAATCATTTAATAAAGTAAGAAAAAAAATTTTAATTGTATCATTCAGTATTTTATGCCTTTTTAACACAGTGTGTATCGTTTCTTAAGATCATAAGCAATTTATTTCACATTTTCCTTTACGTTCATTTCCAGTCTAAACATTAGTTTTAATAATTTATTTACTCTTAACATTGCATTACTTATCCTCTGCGCGAGCTAAAATTAAGGCAGTCTCATCAATACAGCAGATTCCCTCAAGTGGCCAACTGATTAAAACCACTGAACAGCAGTAGCTCATCCAAGGTAGGAACCCTAGGTAATGGTCTAACTGCATAAAAAGTTTTCTATGAATGTAAATATGAGTTTCAGATAGCATTCTTTTCACTAGAAAGACAACGCTTTCGGCCTTTGATATAAACGACTTAGAACAAACAGTATGCCAACTTCGCGAGCCTATAAGGAAAACAGTATCTAGACTAGAAAGCTAGAAATCACCGTTTTCATCATTCACAACTTTCAAAAATGTAAATAAAAAATTTAAGTGAAATTTAACAAGCCATAAATTAAATTACACTTCATGTTTTTGTTTAAATTAACTCACAAATAATTTTGCTTCGCAAAACAATATATGATGTTAATGCTCTCCAGAAATGGCTAGTTATACTGCACTAAATTTTGTATTGCAGTTTTTAACTTTTGCTAGAAACATTTTAACCTATCAGTTACAGAATTAGAGAAAAAATAATAATATAAATTTAATTTTCTATTTAGATAATTCCTAGAGTTCTTTTATGTTAATTAACTAGTTAATTTATGATTTAGATCTTTTCACTAGGAAGACAACGCTTTCGGCCTTTGATATAAACGATTTGATTTTTCATTTTTTCTTTCTGTTTCCATGCCAGAATGCAAATTAGCTCCCATCCATTTAAGATGAGTTCTTTAGATTATAAGACAGAGCATGTTGTCTTTCAAGGCCACATTACCAGGTTACTAGTTTAAATAAGATTTATTGTCTTCGGCCTTCCATGGTAATCGCCGATAGTGAATCTCCTCGACGTTTCATTTTTTTTTACTTTCTTACAGTTTGATGTTCAGGAAATCACTAGTTGGGGAGGAAAGATTTAATACATAAAAGTGCTTTGAAAATAACGAAAAATTTTAATAATTAATATACATAACATTTGTGCGGATAAACTTTATAATGCACCATATATTGAAGTAAAACAAAAAAAATGAAATACAAATATTAACTGTTTAAATATTCGAACAAGATTTCATTATCATAAAATAATGTACAGGAAAACTAGTATTGAAATTAATCACAGGCAAAACATTCACTTCAGACCCTGTCACACTTGTCCCTTCAACAATTATAGTTTTAGTCCACTCTTTTGCAGATGATGTTGAGCATACACTTTTAGTTTTTTGGACATTTATGGAATTTACGAAGAATTCATCATCAGATTTCCTATATACATCTGCGTTGTCATGCTGAGAAACATTTTGAACATGTTTCAGTCTGCATATAGTCGAAAAGTGATTAAGTTTGCACAATTAAAGCATTTTTCCATATGTCGGACATTGTCCATTAACGTGATGTCTGTTGCATTTTTACACGAAAACGTCTCAGTATTTGAAGCGTCATCACGCCATCCTCTGTGCTTCCTCACTGCTACGGCTGCATTGGCTCCTCCTGCCTGTTGTTGTTTCACTTTCCCTCTAGTTACGCTGTCAACATTGTGTTCTCTTAACGTTTGAGCACGAACTTTGTTCAGTTCAGCAGCTTTCCCTAAATCAATTGCTTTCTCCAAACTCGGATTATTTTCTCGCAGCATCCTCTCCTATAAACTGGTATCTGATATTCCACGGACGATGTGATCACGTACGACAGAGCTCACCCAATTCGAGAGATTTTACCAGCTTTTTCAGGTCAGTCACGAAACAATGAAAAAACAAAAAAACAAAACAAAAAATGAAAAAGCTTCCCTTCTTTTTGTTTTCTCTTATTGAATAAAAATCTCTCCCCCCACGATATTTGTTCTAGGCGTCGTGAAAGCTTCAAACCATTCAAGCACTTTTTTCCATAGTTGCCCTAATCTGTTGAAAGACTGAGCGTGTTAAACACTTCAACTGCTTCCTCACCAGCGGCATTTAAAAATAAAACAACTTTCACATCTGAATCTTTTGAAACATTTCCTGAAGCTTTCATAGAAATTTGGAACAGCTGCTTGAATCTGGGAAAGTTTTCAGCCACATTGCCGTCGAAACTTAGGCCTTGCGGTGGGCGACAAAATTCCGTTTTGAGTCTGCTGAGAGGAAAAACAAGCAAAGAAATTGCCTGTTGTAATACTACTCCACACAACTACGCCATGTTATATTC